CTCATCTATCCAAAAATTGCCATCTTAAATTCAGGAAATCTAAAGAGCTTCCTTCTATAGATGAAAATGAAAATTACAGTATTAATTAACCTCAGGCTTTGTCTATTCATTTTATTGAAATGTTTTTTTTTTAATATTAATGGACTAGATAAAACCCTGTGACATTCTACAACCACTTATCATGAGCTGCAGCACAAGTCCTCAAACATCAACTTCTGAAAAAATATTCATCCAGGAAGAACTATCCAAAGGATTATGTGGTTAATGCTCTTTAAAGCCTCCGAGCAGTGCAGCAAAACCAAGGATATATTCCATAAACTAATCTATCAGAGCTATTAAAATTGCTACTTTCACAAAGCCAAGCGTGATCCTGGACTGAAATGGATCCAAGTAATCAGCACTATCACATTCAGTATACTGTATATTAGCAAAAATCTCAGGCAAGATCTCACTCTTCCAATATAAATATTACATTGTGAGCTATTGCTGAGTATAAAGTATAAAAAAATAATGCCTGAAAACAAGCTGTGAATTATTTTAGGATCTGCCCACCCTGAAACTGATTCTGTAATAAAAGATATAATGGATTGTATTTATTTTTTAAAAAGTTCAATTATTTGGAAACAGGACTCACTGACCAAAGTAGAAAATGTCTCTGCTCAACTGTCTGCATAATAAACAGGGATATTATAAAACCATAAAATCTACATGCACAGAATTTCTTGGGCTCATTTCTCAGCCTACATATGGACCCTTCACACATCTAAAAAAGAAAGGAAATTTTACAACAATTTATATATATTCTAATGTATTATACACACACACACACACACACACACACACACATATTTTGAGTTAATGTTGATTATTGGCACCTGCCTAGATAATTTCCTGCAGCTTTCTTGGCAACATTTTAAAACTTTGCCATTGCCTGCTTCCTTGGGCTGAGAGAGAAAGAGACTGGCCCATGGTCACCCAGCTGACTTTGAGTCTAAGATAGGACTAGAATTCACAGTCTCTCCGTTTCTAATCTAGTGACTTAACTACTACACCAAACTGGCTCTCTATCTATAATAGGGTGTCATAATTGGGTGCACTTAAAATCAACATAGCAAAGTTTATAAATATTAATGTTATTCAATGCACTCTTAAAATTTAAATACACATTTAAATATTTCTAGAAATCCAGAGAAATACCTACCAGGAATGAATGATCACTAGAAGATACTACCTTCTGAAACTGAGGAAGAAAGTATTACTATTCTGGATAAGCAAGAAAAGGCATTTGCATTCAAACCACATACCACAACCACAAAGTCATTCCTATTTAAAATTGGGGCAAAGTGTTAAGAGAGCTGCTCTTTTGTAATTGCATGGTGAAAGCAACACCATCTGGCTACAACGTAAAATATTTTTTACTTTTGTTTTTCTTGAAAAGGGAAATAAAAAGTGTTTTCCTTTTTTTCTTTTTTAAAGAAAGAAACATCCAGTTAAGGGATCGCTCAGAATAAAGTATAGTAAACTTTTATTTTATTCCAGAGCTTGAAGAACACTTTATTTAGCTAACTGTGATAGCAATATTTTAAACATTTATAACATATAGTACACAAAGTTATGTACATGTTATTTTATATACCTATATATTTTATAAACTACATATAGAGTTAATAACAGTGATCACACTGTAGAATTTAAATGAGTCATCCAAAGCCCCAGCACATCCCGTGATCTTTCCTGAAGTTCTTGCTATCAGAAATGAGTATACACTTACCTACTTTCAGGATTTCTAATTGTGTTTATATGTTATGTTACTTATCTTTCTGGCCAATCCAGTTTGAAAATATATAATATATATTCTGTTTGAATGGATGGATGGATACATGACAAGATATAACAATCAACTGGAGCATTGAGCTCCATGATCCTGCTACACATGTATTAAATGTTTATGGAGATTCTCAGTCATCCAGATCATTGTTGTCCCAAAGGTGTTTTTCAAGAGGCAATTGGACTTTCTGGTTTTTCTTTGAAGATGTTTCACTTCTCATCCAAGAAACTTCTTCAGCTCTGACTTCCATTCCCCACCATCCAGTCAGAGCTGAAGAAGCTTCTTGGATGAGAAGTGAAACATCTTCAAAGAAAAACCAGAAAGTCCAGTTGCCTCTTGAAAAAGTACCACATGCACTCTTTCTCTATCCAGACACTATCACAGGATTGTTACTGTAAAGATAAAATTGGAAAAGATACTTATGAGTTTCTGCAACAAAAGCAGGACATAGATTAACATTTCCTTCCAAATATATTCTAGAGTTTCAAAAGTATTTTTTAAAAACCTTTTTAATTCAACACAAGTGGCCAAATTAATTCTCAACTGAGGGTTTTTATAAAGGCACCACAGCAATTTTCTGGGGAAACAAAACACACACAAACACACCCCTCTGGAGTATATATAGACACAAATGAATAACTCCATAAAAACAGATCATGCCGAGTGTGGCTGTTCATTCCTATATGGCGGCAAATCTATCTGTTGTCAAGAGACAGAAGGAAACCAGGCCTTGTGTCCCAAAGAGAGAGCCAACCAGTCCCCCGCTAAAAGCACTGATGTAGTCTGTTTATAATCTCAGCTTTGATAGGCAGAGAGAAGTTCAGTAGGAGACAGGGCTGGCTGTTCTTGGGGAAATGCACTTGATGCCATGTACTATTTTCCTCTTTGAGCCCTCTGGGCTCACCCTAATGTTGGTCATCTGACCCTCTATGGCTTTAAATGAATGAATGAATGAATGAATGAATGAATGAATGAATGAATTCTTTATTGGCCAAGTGTGATTAGACACACAAGGAATTTATCTTGGTGCATATGCTCTCAGTGTACATAAAAAGAAAATATACATTTGTCAAGAATCATAAAGTATAATACTTAATATAGTCATAGGGTACAAATAAGCAATCAAATCATACTAGGAAACAGTCAATATAAATCATAAGGATACAAGAAATAAAGTTACAGTCATACAGTCATAAGTAGGAAGGGATGGGTGATAGAAGTGATGAGAAGATTAATAGTAATAGTAATGCAGACTTAGTAAATAGTTGGACAGTGTTGAGAGAATTATTTGTTTAGTAGAGTGATGGCGTTCGGGAAAAAACTGTTCTTCTGTCTAATTGTTCTGGTGTGCAGTGCTCTATAGCGTCGTTTTGAGGGTAGGAGTTGAAACAGCTTATGTCCAGGATGTGAGGGGTCTGTAAATATTTTCACAGCTCTCTTTTTGATTCATGCAGTAAAGAGGTCCTCAATGGAAGGTAGTAATTGTCTTTTTCTGCAGTCCTAATTATCCTCTGAAGTCTGTGTCTGTCCTGTTGGGTTGCAGAACCAAACCAGACAGTCCTAGAGGTGCAAATGACAGACTCAATAATTCCTCTGTAGCTCTATATCAGCAGCTCCTTGGGCAGTTTGTGCTTTCTGAGTTGGCGCAGAAAGAACATTCTTTGTTGTGCTTTTTTGATGATGTTTTTGATGTTAGGTGTCTATTTTAGGTCTTGATAGAACCTAGAAATGTGAAGGTCTCTACTATTGATACTGTGTTGTCTAGTATTGTAAGAGGTGATAGTATGGGAGGGTTTCTCCTAAAGTCTACCACCATTTCTAGTTTTGAATGTGTTCAGTTCCAGATTGTTCCAGTTGCACCATGAGGCTGGTTGTTCAACCTCCTGTCTCTATGCGGATTCATCGTTGTCGCAAATGAGACCAATCACTGCTGTATCATCTGCAAACTTCAGAAGTTTAATAGATGGATTGTTTGAGATGCAGTCATTGGTGTATAAGGAGAAGTGGAGAGAGCACACAACCTTGTGTGGGGTATGGGGGCCCTTGGCTCATGGTAAACTCAGCTTTACTATTAAATGTTTTATCACTATTAATCTGCAGTAAGGCCTCCCTCATCCAGGATCTTACAGTGGAGAAGGCTGGTTGATGTTTGTAAGCAAGAAGTGGATGAGCAGAAAGGAGGGAAGTTTACTCCTCAAAATACACTTGGCGTGAGTTTCATGTGTGGCATCAGTTGTGATCCAAGAGTAGAGATGGTAGTGGTGGTTACTCTCAGACAGGAACTCTGGTGGCAGGAAACTCAAAGTGAGGCAATATGTAGGGATATACAGTATTTTAAGCCCCTTTTACATTTGTATATAATTTGAATAAATTCAATAAATCAGCTAAGTTCCCACACACAGACATATAGGCACATCAGTATGAGCAAATTGGTGTGCAAGACTTTGAGGATCTATTCTCAGTCACCCAGGTCATAGTTATATCAAAAGGGTTTTTTATTTTTGAAAAGGCAACTGGACTGATTGAAGACATTTGGCTTCCTACTGATGGAAGCTTCATCAGTTGTATTGGATGGTGTGGGAGATTGAAGGACCGTTATTGACAGTTGAGACTAGTTGCGGGGGAGTGGGGGGGAGACAACTTTTATTTTTAAAATAAAAACCACTTTGGATAGACTTCTGAGGGCATTCACCTCTTTCGGCCAAGGGGAAAAAAGACTTGTAATAAATCTTCCGAAAATTCAAGTTTTAATATTTGCACAAAATACTAAACGGTGTGCGTTTAGAGCCAATCCAAGAGGACTAGTTCAGCCTTAAACACTTTTCTTCTCTGGCTAGTGCTACTCAGCCCAGCCCTTCAGCTAGCCTGAGATTCTACACACCCCTACACTCGATCTTAGCCAAAGGGCCGAGAATTGATCAGCAAATAGTCGGGACTTCCCACCCCGCGTTCCGTTAACGCAAGAAACTGAAGTGGAACGCCCCGCCCCCGCCCCCTACACACACACTTTTCCTCCGTTTTTATAACCGCCCCCATTTCCACGTGACACCTCCGAGCACGCGCACCTGGCTTCCGGTGTCTGGGTCACGCGGCCCCGCAACTTCACCAATCAGAAACTCCGGAACGCAGTTCAAACCTCCAGGCAGCGGTTGCTCAGTTGTGTGGACGTTTTCACAGCTGCCGTTGGCCGTTGTGTTCGTTGGCTGCGCTATGTTGTAGCCGCGATGGAGAATCGGGTGGTCTCTCCCGGACCTTATCGCGCCACCAAGCTGGTAAAAAACAAAACAAAAGCGGGGAGGGTGCTTTCTGGAGAGCCAGTTCTTATGGGAGTTCATTGATCTCTGTTGTGTTGGGCGCATGTGCGCCTGTCTTGACGTACGAGCCCAACATTAAAGTGTTGGCTTGTAGTAGAGCGCAGTCCGTGAAAGTTTTACAAACTTAATCCTAATCCACGGGCCAATCTGGAGAGGTGCTCCGAAGATGTGGTTTGTTCACGTTTTAATTCACGTTGTCATCGGTGACAGGAGCGTCACTGGACGGTGATCAGGCAAATCTCTAGTGCAAAAAAAACCCCCAAAACATCAGGATTCAGCCGAGTTTCTTTTGCTCTCCATGAGAATCCACGTTTCAGAGCATTTCTAAATGGTCTTCAGGTGTCTTTTCATGCCCTATAACTTGCCCTGGTGTAGTAACAAGATTTCACCAGATTCGACAGCTGAAGTGAAGATTTTATTCAATATTAGTAAAGTCTTGGTTGCAACACAAGAGTCAAATATATTAAAATTACTGTTTGTAAAAAAAAAAAATAACAAACCATTGTATGTACTTTTTGCACTGTATAACTTGAAAACGTAAAGAGGTTTAGCATAAATTTGATATATAAACGAATGTGTGTTTTATTTCTCTGTGTCCTCTCCCTTTACAATTTCATTTCTCTTGACTTACAGTGGAATGAAGTTACTAAATACTTTCGGGCACAAATGCCACAAAAGAAACACAGACAACACTTTAGAAAATATGGAAATTGTTTTACTGCTGCCGAAGCAATCGACTGGCTTCATGCATTACTCAGGAATAATATTAATTTTGGTCCAGAAGTTACTAGGCAGCAAACTATTCAGCTGTTAAGGAAATTTCTTAAAAATCATGTGATTGAGGACATAAAAGGAAGATGGGGTTCAGAAAATCTGGACGACAATCATAACTTGTACAGGTAATTTACAGAATTATTGACAGAATCTGTGAAAATGATCATATATTGACTGTAAAAGTTTGACTGGTTTCCTTATTTTGTGGCTTACTGGAACAGAGATATTTATATATTTTACCCATAAATTCAATATGGAATTTTTAAAAGTCTGTTTCAAAATATCAAATTTAGTAACCCAATATAATAAATGCTTTGTTTGTACCAAGAGTGCTGTATCTTGTAAAATGGCACAATCTATATTGTAGTACCAAAAAGTGACGGATATACCTATTTTCCTAATGAAAATTATTTATTTGATGTATTTGAAAATTTTTGGTTTTTTCCAAATACTCTTTTATCTTCAATCTATCTTGCAAAAGGACAAAATTCTCTGTGAAGAGTTTTGTTACATATCAATTAAATTGCTACATTGATATTTCCTGTGTCAAATTATAGATTTCCTTCAGCTTCCCCTGTTAAAATTTTGCCACGTCGATATCCATTGAAAGAAACCCTGCATAATGTACCCAAAAAAACAGAAAGCATGTTTAAATTACCTCAGTACTCCAAGAGAACTCCTAAAAAACATAACCTTCAGGAATGTCAGGTAATCTATTATTGATTAATTGTGTTTACAGTTTAATACCTAAACAACTGGGACAGCCTTATCAAGGTGAAGTGTTTATATGGAGTATCGTTTCCCTCAGGTTTAGATGATCCTGAAGACATAGTTCTTCTGGGTAGACTTTGCAATCTTTTAAAAAATGATTATTCTTGAACTTAACAAGTATAGATCATTTTTAAAAGGTCTATGTAATAATTTGTCTTGATTAGGCACTTGTTTCTGTTTTGGCCCACCAAAAGTGAGCTTGATTTGCCAATTTTATTTACAATTATATCCAACTGTTGTGCACAAATAATGAGGTTTGAGTCATATAAGGTTTCTATTTGTTTTGTATAAATTACGCATTACAGATAACCCTCGACTAACAACAAGTTCATTTAGTGGCCATTTGAAGTTACAACGGCACTGAAAAAAGTGAATTATGACCATTTTTCACACAACTGTTGCAGGATCCCCATGATCAAAATTCAGACACTTGGCAACTTAGCATGCTTTTATGACAGTTGCCGAGCCCCAGGGGTCATGAGATCACCTTTTGCGACCTTCTGACAAGCAAAGTCAATGGGGAAGCCAGATTCAGTTAACAGCTATATTACTAACTTAACAACTACAATGATTCACTTAAGAATTGTGACAAGAAAGGTTGTAAGTTAAGACAAAACTCACTTAACTGTCTTACTTAGCAATGGAAATTGGGAGCTCAAATTTGGAGGTCATAAATTGAGGGCTATATGTACCTTTCTGCCAAAAAAAAGATGGCAAGTAATGGTTTCCACTTTCCAAAGTTTACTGCTGCATTTTGAAATAAGTATTGTAAAGGTCATCTGGTCTACAAGCAAGTGTCACTGTGACTGCTGGCAGTTTCCTGCTAGCTTAGTTGGGACCAAAAAAATGGATTATGGACTAAAATTACCAGTATTCTCTGCTGAACTTTGAATAAAAGTCTCATGCTTTTTACAAGGTGCTTGTAATTCCATATTTGCAGAACAACAAAGAAAATGTGAAATATGAAGATGATAAACAATGGGTAGCGAATGATAGACAAATAACTCAAGCAGATATAGAAGAAATTTGGAGAAACATTGTTATGATACAGTAAGTAACAGATGTATTTCCTTTTTCCCATAGATTTTAGAAATAAGAATAACAATTTCTGGGAAAATGATTATTCTAGTATCTCTTCAGGACAATTTCTTGATATATAAACTTGTGTTATATGCACTTGCTCTCATAATATTTTGAAAATCAAATTTATGAAAACTTACATACCAAACAGATGAAAAAAGCTTGTGTTACTACACTTCTACTGTATCATAAAAAATTCTTTATTTAAATTACTTAAATAGGTAAATGAAATCATTTTAACTATTTAGTTGTAGTATTGGTATAGAACTTCATCAAATTGCTATTGGACTTACCGTAAAATGAGTTTGTTAGCTTTCAGTCTTTTCCTTTTGTGATCTTACTAATGCTCTCTCCCTAGGATGCTTTAAGTAATACAGGGAATTTTATAATTGTGTACAAAACTTTTCAAAAATGGGCCATTTTGTAGAACACAGGAGTATCCTTTTTCCCCCAGACCTCACCAATTCAGCCTTTCTACTTTATCAGTTTTACACCTTCCAGAATAGAAAGTAGTTTGTAGTATTTCAGATTTACAAACAACTTCTCCAAAAACATTTACTTGGAGAAAACTATTTACTTATGTCCAAAACAGATGGATCAGCATTATTTGTTATTCCCCAGAATATTCCATATTTAGAATAATAAATTTTGCACATTTCTAGAATTTAGACTAGTCTAAATGAAACTAGACTAAATGAAAGCTAAAGAGGAACCACAAAATAATAATTCTTCTGCTATATTAAATGTTTATCTCTTTTGGTCACCCCATGATTCAGTCAAATCTTATATATGGTATATAATTTGGCTGGTTGACAAAGCTATGTAAAATGTAATTCTTAACCATTTTTTAGTTGCCTAAAGCAAGATATATTGAATTTTTACAAACCTGTTTCCTTGAGAATTGCTGAGAAAAGGTTTCTGAATTGATTGCATTTTTTCCTCTTCATAGTTTGCAAACAATTTTAGGTATACCTTCTTTAGAACACATCTTGCATCCAGCACAAATAATTCCTCGCTACATAATATATAACATGACTAATACAACCAAACATGGAGTTGTTTTTCTGCAAGATAAATCAGGCAAGTGCTATAATGTAATTTTTAAAGCTATGTCCAGCTTAAACATGAGCAAAAGTGTGATGTATCTTGTATTAGGGGATGTAGGCACCTGTCTTAAACATAAAAGCTTTATCTGCATTCATTTACAGGAAAACTATAATGTCATTAATAGAGATTCTAGCATTTTGATAGATATTTTAATTTTAAATGCAGTTTAAAATTATGAGTAAAATTTTAAAAAGTTGACCTATTGTGTTTCACTTCTCAATTTTCTATTTGAAGTATGTTTATCCTTAAAAATCAGTGTTGGGAACTGGTAAGTTACATTCAGATTCCCATTCAATCACAAAAAAATAGCCATGAGTGAATTGTGGTATAGTAAATATGAAGTTTACAATTATATGCTTTTTAAGCATTTTCTGTATGTGCTGTTGTAATCCTTGGAAGAGTGATGAAATACAAATATAACAAATAAGTTTCAGTAGTTTGGGTATAAAAGTAATAGCTGGTAAATCTTTTATCTCCCTCTTTTCTTGCAGAAGATTTTCCTCACTGGGTATTGTCAGCTATGAAGTGTTTGGCAAACTGTAAGTTAGAAGTATATAAGGAAAATACAATGCAAAAAGAAGAAAAGTAAACAATAATGTGAACACTATACTTGTAGCAGGATCCAATCTGGGTTGGTCACTAGGACCAGAGGTTTAGTCTTCTGAGCTTTTGGGCTATTTGTATGTGTAATATTTATGTGGTGTATAGTTGTATGTCACTTTTTAGTTGTTGATTAGAATGTTAAGGGCCAGTTACTAAGTCATTGGCTGTTGTTTCTTATATTGTCAAGTCCTTGACTCCTAAGTACCTGATAAGCTCATGGTAAATCAGGACCCATTTCCCAGCTTCAATCATTTCCTTGGGTATCTTTGTACCTCCTCGGCCAGCAATCTTAGTAGCTGAAAAATTGAATGCATGTCCTTGTTCATTGTAATGTGAGGCTACCAATGAGTTGCGGTCTCCTCGTCTGACCTGACTATACTTGTAGATTCCATTAAATTATTTTGCTCTAAATGTTACAGTATCTGAATTTAGAAGATGAATGTGAGATAAAGTGCCAATAAAAAGAATATAATATATAGAATAATGAAAAACATGCATCAAAAATAATGCGTGTTTCAGTGAACCTGTTCTTTATAACAGGTTCGTTATAAGGAACAGGTTTTAGTGATTTTGCTATATCATATATACATAGATCTTGATAAGATCTTGTATCCAGTAATATCCGATTTAGTTTTATAAATATTTCATCTGATGAATTGTTAATATAGGATGTTAGAAAAGCAGTGCCCTGCTATTCGTAGGACTTGAAATATCATGAGATCAGTGTTGTTGAGATTTCTTTCCTCTTGCATTTCAGGGCCTAGATGTAATGACCTGAGTCAGCCAACATACACGGGTTTTGAGCGAGATGTGTTCAAAACAGTTGCTGATTATTTTCTTAGTCTCTCTGAACCTTTGCTTACTTTTCAGTATTATGAATTATTTGTGAAGATCTTAGGTATGTATCCATTCATATCAGGGTGGTGCAGAATCCCGGTATATAGTTGAGAAGACCTAAGATACTACAACCGTATATTAATTTTGGAAAGAAGTGTGTCTAGTTTTACAGAACAAGTTATCAAGTATAAAGTGTAATTACTATATATAATATAATCTTAGCTTTTGTGCAGACTGCTAATCATAATATGATTCATTATGTACACTTGCATATGTGAGCTATCCTTTGCATGTATGTTTCTGAATACCTTTTGACTGAACATACAGTCTTTCAACACCACTAACTTTTAAACATTAATCTCTATTTTAATTTTTCTGATTATGTTGCTTGTGCTTCTAAATTGCCTGCATTTGAATTTGTATTTCATTTTCTGATAGTTTTGTGTGGCTACATCACAATCCCAAACAGATCCAGTGGAAATGTTGGTATCCAGAACGATTTGGTACATTCAAAACCTTGCCATTTAAACTCGTTCAAGTCAACCGAATATCTTCTGCTAAGTTTGCTTCAGCGTGACACTGACAAAGAAGATGAATCTGAGACTTCTGATAAAGGTTCTAAAAGGCATTCAAATGAAATAGGATGCAGTATGAATTTTCAGCACCATAACATGACTTGTAAAAGTGGTACTGTTCATGTACAAAAAGGTGGCAGTTGTCAGAATCTTTCACAACTGAAAAATGAACAAGCTCTGCCTCTGAGGCTTAAGGCAAGGTGTCACTCTTTGGAGGGAATTGCAGATACAACCTCAAGCAATTGTAGTAAACAATTTTCTCGATCTGGAATACATATTGTGCCACTGACAAGTAATGAGAACAAACTCTTGCACTGTGAGAGTAAACCAGTCTCTGCATTGGATCTATGTTTGGATAACAGTGAAAAACAGACTCACGGCTTCAAGGAAGTTCCTGCATCAAGTGTTCCTGACCGAGAGAAATCTAGTGGCAACCTGGAATCAAAGCAACTTTGTCAGTCTCGGAGTCTATATGGAATTAAAAACTCCAGACAGTGTGCCATGCACGCTCCAGTTGCAGAGATCACAGTTAAACCACATCGAGTAAACCTTGGTCCCAAAACTCAAAGCACTAGCCAACTGGCTCTTAAAACAGGAAGTAAATATGTGGGTTCTGATATGGCCATCAAAAAAAGATTCCACAAAAGTGCAACACAGCTTTCAGAATACATGTTTTCTCCCAGCTTCTTTATGCTGACTGGCAGATCACGTAAGATTGCTTTGTGGAGCATGTCTGTATGCATTTGTACTAACTAGCTTTGCTTATCTGCTTTTTTTTTTTTTAAAGGGGGGTGATTTTGCCAATCCTGGTATTTTAAGTGACTCATTAGCCTGTGAAGGTAAAAGAATTTTTAAGCTAATACTATCTGTTCTGCAAGCATCAGTATTTTCTAGAATGCATGTTAATGCAAAATGTATGTTTATGTTCTCTTGCCAATGCTGGTATTTCTATGACTCAAATGACATTAAGTAACTTGAATCTTTTGCATTGTGATTTTAAATAACTAATCATTTAGCAGCTAAATAGATGGAAGACAATAGGAGAGGCTGTGTCCAATAGTGGTTAAAGTGTTGGACCTACGGAGACCTAACTTCAATTCCTGCCTCAGCCATGGAAGATAATTTTAGGCTAGTAGTTTTCTCAACCCAATTTACCTCACAGAATTAGTGTGGGGATAAAATTAAGGAAAATCCCCATGTAAGTTATCTTATGTTTCTAGATAAAAGTTTAGATTACCAACAAATAAATAATATGCACATCAATCAGACTTTACTTGCATTAATGATATAAAAGGGAATTTTAATTTCTAGGAAAGTTGCAAAAATAATGCCGCTCTGATTTAATAATTTTCTAGATTTGTTGCAGCCTCATTTAGAAAGAGTTGCAATCGAAGCTCTGCAGATTTGCTGTCTATTGCTTCCACCACCAAATCGCAGAAAACTTCAACTTTTATTGCGCATGATCTCTCGGATGAGTGAAAATGTTGATATGCCACGACTTCATGATTCAATAGGCACTAGATCTTTGGTACGATTATTTCTCGTAATGATTTTTAAGAGGGTATTCATGTCGCCTCATTGACAAATGTATTCATAGATAAAAACCTTCCTGCCTTGTCTTGCATGCCAGATCAACTGCCAACATCTTAATGGCCTTGTATAGACTGACAGAGAAGGGCCCAAGTATTTACTGGTAATTTAAGGCAAAAATAAGTTCTGCTGTCCTATCTTGCTTGGCTTTCTCATTTCAAAAGTGAGGCCTGAAATTGGTTGCATCAGCAGTAGACTTCTCCTACTATTATCCTCCAGCAGCTGGCCCCGATTCTGAAGACTGAAGGTAGCTGCTTTGATTAGTTGTCATGATGCCATTTTCCATGTTCAGAATCTGTTTTGAACCAATCCAAGCTGATACCTTCATAGCTGGTGCTAGAAAGATTCATAGATAAACATTTTATTAATGATAGAACGTTTTGCAGAGTAAGATGGGCAGCATATAAATATAATAAATAAATCTCTTTAGTAAGTAAGGGTCCAAAGAAGGGAGATCTTCTTTAGCCACGTACACTTTCAGTACTAGATACAGAAGCGACAGGAAACATTTCACCCGTCCTCCCACAGTCTGTTTAATTACCTACATGCAACTCTGTTTTCTTCTGCATGCAGTTCTTTGTTGCTTGTAACATCCAAATTAACACCAAAAATGCTAAGTTGGATGTGTTGCAGCCCCCACCCGCCCACTCCAAATCCTTGAGTGAAATCTTAGAGACGGTTCAAAGTTTGCCGCCTAATGTATATGTATAATAGAGATATTAAAACATATGGGGATTAATTATGTCAACAATATTAAATGTAATGTAATTTTTATTTAATGAAAATTTAACTAGTGTTGCCCTATGCTGTCCTGCTATGTACTTTTTTTTGCATACTAAAAATCAAATATGGTGTTCTCTATTATAGCAGAAAGTTATTTTAATACTTGGTGTTTTATAACTGTATGTTTAAATGCTTCCAGATGATACAGACATTTTCTCGATGTATACTGCGCTGTGAGAAAGAAGTGGATCTAGATGAGTGGCTTGCCATAAGATTAGTTTCCTTTCTAATGGATCACCAACAGGAAATTTTAGAAGTCCCTATATATTTACAAATTGCAGTTCAAGATCACATTGAAACATTAAAAACTACTCAGGTAAGGAAAACAGTTATTAACATCTTTTGAGTCAGAGTTACATACATAATTTGCTTTAATAGCCATGGTCTGGGAATTGTTTCTTCAAACTTGTCTGACCATTACTGCTACTTTTCAGATTTAAATAAAATGCTTTGCATTAATGTTACCGGTATATACAGTATTTCCCCATATTGAGACTTTGTTCTAAATAGATTATTTTATGCCCATCAGATATGATTTATCTGATCTGGCATTTCTATTATTTTCCATAGCCAGTTTGCAATGTAATACATGAAGAGTGAACTTCCGTTCATTGCTGTCTTGAACTTTTGAACAATTTTAACAAAAAATTAACAATTGCAGTAATTTGCATCCTGACCACCAAGATTCAAATAAACCATAAGACTCTATTCATGCTTAACAGGCGTTGAAAAAATGTTTTATGTGAATATAAACCATTATTGAATGTATAGTAATACTATAGATTGCCAGAGTTCTGTTATAAGTTAGTTCCTAGTGAAGATTTTGTGGAAATAACATTCATCATTCAGTTTGGTTTTCAATAAATTTTTAGTCTAACTGGTTATGAGCAAGAATCAGTTACCAAGGTTTTTAATTTTCTGAAATTCTGTACACTCAGATGCACACAGCAGTTCAGTAACTCATAATTGGGCCCATTAAATTGTTCAGAGGCTATCTCAAAAGCAGAGGAGTTTTTGAAATTTTATTTAACTTCTCTAAACCTACCATGACATCTGTATATGAAAATATGCTTCAGATAATATCTTAAATCTTATAATTTTTTTCCCTTTAAAAATATGCAGCAATTAAGTTACTTATGAAATGTCATCTAGTGTGTAAATCAGACTTCATTAAATGTAAGCCTTAGAACCTAAAATATATTTCGATATTGGAATGATTCATCTTATCTGAAGTGCTTTTTGATAGTTCAGTTGATAGTGACTTTCCAGCTTTTTCTTAATGCCATCAGGGGAATTTAATAAAGTTGCATTTGTTGTATATTAGTGAATTGAAGGCTAAGAATTGCAATTACAGGTTCCTGTATCAAAATAAAATTATTTTAGTTGTAGAATTCATTTCGTATTATTTTCTTACTTATCGTATTCTCCTGAGATGTTTCAGCTGCTTTAAGCATGTTTATCTTATTCTTATATTAAATTGTGAGAGAATTCTGGCTTATCAGAGATCTTCTCACTAGCCACTGTTTTAGATCCCAGATTAGAGCTTCAGAATTAAAGTTCTTGCTCTTAGCCAGAACTGGTGGTGTCATCCATTTGTCTTTCCTGTTCCATTTGTTTGCTTTTGCTTGCTTGCAGATGGAATGTCTTGAAGAAGAACTGAGCACCATATTTCCAAGTTATTCCTATTGCATGAGGATTACATCTCAGGAATTTGACGAACAGAAGATTTCTGTATCTCAGGCAGCAGTAGCTGAACTTTTGGAAAACATTATTAAAGATAGAAATTTATCTCTGAAAGAGAAGAAGAAAAAACTTAAACAGGTAATGAGATCGGTGAACTGTTTAGACATCATTATTCGGCAAGAAGGCCTCAAGTAATTTTGGGAGATTGGTTTATTTTTGATAGATCTGGATAACAAAAATATTTTTTTCTGGTAATAAATGTGTTCTGTAGAAAACGGGGCTGCATCCCTTTAGCTAGATTATTTTTTAAAGCTTTCTACAGTCCCACTTTTTATTGCCACTCTAACTACTGTGGTGCAAAAAGGACTTAGACTGCAATTGCAATAGTGGTGTCTTAAGAATCTTTACTTTTTGTCAAGAATAACTTTGATCTAAATTATTGCTTTAGATTTGTCATTATATCAGATTTCCACTATCTAGTCCCCTGCTAGAACCTTTAACAAGCTATTATACTGGACCAGGCTTGTATCACTGTTAAAGATATGAGGTGACATCAGCTCATTTAAAGGTGGTGAAAAAATTATTGGTCCTCTCTTTTTGTAATCTTCTTGGATGAGTACAACATGGAGGAATTTTCTACTATGGCAGGATGACAGTTCCTACCCCAGCCCAAACTGTTGTGTTAAAACCCATAATGGGTAAACACAACATCCTCTTTTCCAGAGCTGCAATCTTAAAAATGACACATAGAATCAGACTAAATGGCAGGGCATTTTGAAAACTAAATTTTCTGCCACATTGTGTTATATTAGGAACAAACAATCTATGGCATTCCAGATATCTCATCACAGGCAATGCTTCCTCAAGAACAATTTATAGTTCAGCAGTTACTTGAAGTGCCACAGGTTGCCTGTTAAGAGCAAATTAGAGATTACCACTAGAGTTTGGGGAAATGCTCTTTACTCTTGGGATTACACATTCTCTTAATCCAGTGTGTGTTAGATTGTTACATTGTGTTTTGCAGTTAGCATCATCTCTGACATTATTAATACTCTTAAGATGAACATATTATGAAAACTTGCATATGATACTAGACAATTGTTTTCTAAATATTTACTTGATTTATTCAAGTTCACCTGACACAGTTTATTGTAATCTTCTTTGTGGCAAAGTAGAACATCTATGGCAGAGCTTATTACGGAGGGATTTTTTTTTTCTGAACAAATTGGTTCATAGATTATACTTGTCCTAGAATGTATTAAACAAATCTCATGACTCAAGTCTGGCTCTAAATTAGCAGAGTTTAAGCCACTGCATTTAAGTTACTGTTCTTTATTTTTCCCTCTTACATTCTTTGTGAAGATTCCAAAGAGTTGAAAAAACTTCATTTAAAGGTCCGTTACAGTGTTTTATAACATAGTTAGGCTTTAAAGTTTGACATCTGTTATAGCAGCAGCATGTATTCTAAATGTGGTGGATTACAACTCACAAGATTCTGAATTAGTAAAACTGTTGGACATATGTGTTAGGGATTGCACTCCAGTATATCTAAAGGGCAGCTTTAGATATGTACACATTCCATTTAAGAGGAACAGCAATGATTCCTGATTCTCACATGAATATGTTAGTACTCCCAATCATGAAATGCATCTGCTATGTCATTTTATACATAAATGAAAGAACTATTCCTTATTAAGTATGGTAGAAAGGTCACAACCAACTTTTGTTTCTGTTCCAAGTTCTGTCAGAATACACAACGTATACACACACACACACGCCATCTCTTTCTGGTTTTTGGCTGCTTTTAAATTTAGAGATGCTTGAATAAAAATTCACTGGTTGCTGAGAAAAGACCCGACAATACAGTTTTCTGATTCCAATTTTCTTGTTGTGTTTAGTGTCTCAGCTAGAAAACCATTGCAAATCACTGCCCATATCTTTTATAAATCTTATCTTTATTTTATACATACACACACACACACACACACACAAATAATGAGCTTTTAAATAATTTATTCTTTAACCTTTGAAACAGGTAAAGAGGTAGGCCTATAGAATATCAGACAGTTCTTGCAACGTGATTTTTTATCTAGGTGCATGACCAGAAGTAGGAATTTACATTTATATGTACAAGTTTACATTGTACATTTAAGGGTACTTGTGATTTAGGCATAAATATTTGCAAGAATTGCAAATTCTTAGTTGCAAGTTAGTTGCAAGAATTGTTAGTTCATTTGGCTAAAAAACATTGTAACGTGCATGATGATTTACTGTTTTGATTTACAGTTCCAGAAGGAATATCCAGAGATTTATCGGAGCAGATTTCCAACTTCGGAAAGTGAAGCTGTCTTGTTCGATCACAAGCCTACAATTAAACAGCCAATACTTAGCTTGAGAAAGTCCAAACACGTTAGCATGAAAAGTTAATCTGTACCTCAGTTATATATTTATTTAAAAAACTTTTTGAAAGTGTACATTAGAAATCTTTCAGTAAGCACATTCATGCAAGTATGCATTTTATGAATTTTTTTTCATTAATCCTGAAGTGTGTTTTATAAATGCCATTGTTTACAAAATAATTCCAAAATTGTAAATAGTTCCATTTTTTCATGCTTAATAAGATACAGATGAAGAGCATATTCAATATACCAATAGCAAACAAATATACTAGTAACAATTATAAATACAAACGTGTTGTAACTCTTTGCACTGTTTTTTAAAAAAACATACTGTATTCTGAATACCACAATACTGTGTTAATGTTGATCGTCAGTATATAATCTATTTATATGTTGTATGTATTAATGCTGAGTTAAATAACACAGCTGTGAACAGTGAGCATGAAGCATGGCCATAAAGGTCATGATTGCCAGTCTCACTTTTATTGCAGAAATTGAACTCTTGATTAGAAAAAATGAACAATATTGCTTATACAGCCATAAAGCAATAATTCATTCATTCTTTCTAATGGTTTGAAATGGTAATTAATGGCCCTCTATTGTCCATATGTGCTCACATCTTTGTTATGGTTAAGTTAGTTGTTCATTTTTTATATTGCTTTAGTACAGGGGTGTCAAACTCACGGCATCACGGCAGCATTACGTGACGTATTGGGACTTTTTCCCCCTTTGCTAAACCAGGCATGGGCATGGCCAGCGTGTAATGCATCTGGCCTGTGGGCCACAAGTTTGACAGCCCTGCTTTAGTAGAATTAGATTGCTCAGGCTATCTTCCTCATCTTACTCCCGTTTGTGTTTTCATTCTAAGTATTTTCTATTTATGATACATATGTGCAAATATCAGATTGTTAAGAATTGCTGAAGAGATTGTTTAATGAAACCTATCTAAATGGTGATAACTCATATTGTGTATAAAAGAATGTTTTAGAAAATGCATTACTGTACATCTACAGACTTGAATTTTAAATGGAAGAATTTAAAGGACATTATTTCATTCCCTTTCTATGTTCCACTATGTGAACCATTTCTAATGTAAACAAGCTTTTCCAGTGAGCCTTGAGTCTTCTGAAAGGAGCAGAAATATTATATTCTATTTTATAACTATGAAAGTAAAGAAAGGAGCTTGTATAGTGGAAAAATTATTTTATTCTCTTATTTTATTAAACTTTTATCACTGCCCATCTCACAGAAGATGGATCTGAATGGCGTATTAAAAATATCAATAGTTAAAACTGCTTACAAAAACCAGTTAATACAAATATAAATAAAAAAGACAAAAGGGAACATATCAAAATAAAATTCATGATGCAGCTAATGTGTTTTAATTAGCAAAATTAAAAAGTTTTAACCAATTACCAATGTTAGTTGAGCAAGCTAAGTAAATAGAAACGCTTAGCAGATATGGGTTAAGTAGCTGAATTTTAAAAATGGCATATAAATCAAATTACATTTAAGTGCTTTAAATATGAATTCTATTATTTATGGAGTAAATAAGACCTGATGCCTGTAACAATCTTACTGCCTGACTAGTCAAAGCAATATATGTGTGTGTGTGTATACATATACATATACATTTTATATATAAAGTCTAACATATGTCTACTTCCCCTCTCTAATCCTCCTTTATCCATAGATTAGTGACTTTGTTTGCCTGAGTTGTATTTGCTTGGAAACATTCTTTATCTGAGGTTTGCCATCCGAGATTGGAACATTCCTGCAATTACAACTCTACACTTCAGCCTTCCAGATCCTAGCCAAAGCCAGCTGACAACTCTCTGACTTGATGCTGACATTGTATTTTTCATTTTTCTCAAAGCAAGTCTGTGTAACATTTGGGTGGCTTCAACAGCAATTGTAGCAAGGATGTAGTCAGGGTTATATATAAGATTATATATAAGATCTGCTTGTAAGTTTCGACGTGGTTTCACTATTCACTCAAGTCCCAGTGAAAGAAACCCTAGAAATCATCAATAACAAATACCAACTACCCAAACACCTCATGGAACTAACAGAACACTGCTTAACCAACACATATTTCATATACAAAGGACAAAGATACAAGCAGATTGAAGGAGCCCCCATGGGATCACCCCCGTCACCCGTTATTGCAAACCTGTTCATGGAAGAATTCAAATCCAGAGCCCTGGCAAATGCCACCCACAAACCCAAACTATGGTTAAGATACATTGATGACACATTTGTTATTTGGCCCCATGGAAAAGAAAACCTGAACGATTTTCTAACAACTAAACAGCACATACCCCAAAATCAAATTCACCATGGAAATGGAAACAAACAACTACCATTCCTAGATGTACTAATCTACAAAAAAACAGATGGCACACTAGGACACACCATATAGCAGAAGAAAACACCAACCGCTACCTCAACGCCAGTGGTGGGATTCAAAAAAAATTTCTACCGGTTCTGTGGGCGTGGCTTGGTGGGTGTGGCATGGTTTGGTGGCCGTGGCAGTGGAAGGATACTTTAAAATCTCAATTCCCCATTCCACTCCAGAGGAAGGTTACTGCCAAAACCCCATTCCCTTCCCACCCCACTAACCTGCTTTCCAGCTCTGCTCTCCTGTGCAGGGCAACAAAAGACCCAGCCAATCAGCTGGGATTCAGAAGGCAGAGAATAGATGGAGGCGGGGCCAGTCACAGATGGTATTGGCCGGTTCTCCAAACGACTCAAAATTTCCGCTACCGGTTCTCCAGAACTGGTCAGAACCTGCTGAATACCACCTCTGCTCAACACCCAATCCCACCACCACGCAGCACAGATAAACTCCGTGGCCAAACCACTAATTGCCGGAACCAAACGCCTGACAGACAAGACACACATAAAGACTGAACTATGCACCCTGACTAAAGTACTGACAGCCAATGGCTTCTACTAAAGCAAAATCACAGGCCTGATCCACAAAAACACTGAGACATAATAGAGACCTAGAAGATGAACAGACCTATGGAACAGTTGTCCTGCCCTACATAAGAGGTACAACAGACAAAATCAGTAAGATACTACACAGGAACCACATCAAGACTGCCTTCAAAACAGACAGAAAAATAGTAGCCATCCTAAGAAACCCCAAAGATAAAATTGACCTGGGAAACTAAGGCATATATGAAGTCCCCTGCGCATCATGCCCTGCCACATTCATCAGACAGACATTTTATATATATTGTGATGACCCGTAGTCTCTCAAAATAACCCAAAACCCAAAACATATATTAAAGTTCGGTAAAGCCTTCAACTTAACTTCACTGTTTTTATTAGGCACAGTTTAAAGTCACAAAAGTAAATAATGAGGCAAACAGAAAACCAAAACAAACCACATTGATGAGAGTTCTGAAGCAAGCCGAGATAACTAATTATAAACTCCAGGAAAATAACCGAGAAAAGTCCATGGGAAGAACGCCAGCAAAGATAAGCCTCTTTCAAGGTGAACACTAATTGACTTCAGCAATTCTAACTGCGCAGTTGCAAACTTATATACATAGCTCCCACCTTCAAGCCACGAGGAGGATCATGGTAATCTCTTGAGTAGACCTCACTTCTCCCTGATCCTCTCCTCCCTGCGTGACCTAGGATGGATAGGGGATGGGCCTGGATCCTCCTCTGACTGCTCAGCCGGCCTCTGCCCTTCCCCAGCCTCCTCCACCACCTCTGGAGCCACACTCCCATTCCCTGTTGGCTGTTCCTTCTTCCAACATTTCAGCAGAATCTCATCTGCCATCATCAGGCTTCTGTATTGATGTTTGTGAGTCAGACTTTCACAGCCGTTTCAGTTTTAAATTTGGGGCTAGCCTACTGCTGTGCCAGAATGGTTTTTTCTTCATCCTGATTGGTTGAGAGTCTTGGTCTGTGTTTATTGGTCTTGGAGTTTGCTGTGTTCTGCTTGATTGGTGTTTCTAATATCTTCTGTCTGTTTTGTGGCTTTTTTTTTTTTTTTTGTCTTGATTGGCTGGCAACATTGTGTTCCTGTATTGGAGGCTTTTAGTGCAGCTTGGCTCTGAGTAAATGGACGGCTATCATTTATTAGGAAGTTAGGTTTCATCTGAGTGCCTGGTTGGGGTGTGTTTGAGCTGGAGGTATCAGGGGGGATCTGTTTGTGCCCAGGTGTTTGCCTGGCTTGTGGTGTAGAGATTTTTTTGTTTGTGAGTGCAGGCTTCCAAATAATTGACAGTCTGGTGGAATCTTCTATTCATGCTTTCAGGTCTTTTTTCAATCTCTGTGGCTTCTCTGATAATTCTGTGGCTGGGGTTTTCTATAGTGGCTAGGGTTTTGGTGCCATTGAAGTCGATGCTATGACCTGTTGCTTTCGTGTGTTGGACTAGTGAGGAAGTGTGTTCCAGATTTTTTACTGCATTTTTGTGTTCATCCAGGCGGGTACTTATTCTTCTATTGGTCTGTCCAATGTATGTGGCAGGGCATGATGCACAGGAGACTTCATATATGCCTTGGTTTTCCAGGTCAATTTTATCTTTGGGGTTTCTTAGGATGGCTGCTATTTTTCTGTCTGTTTTGAAGGCAGTCTTGATGTGATGTCTGTGTAGTATCTTACTGATTTTGTCTGTTGTACCTCTTATGTAGGGCAGGACAGCTGTTCCATAGGTCTGTTCATCTTCTAGGTGTCCATTATGTCTCAGTGTGTTTTTGTGGATCAAGCTGGTGATTTTGTGGATCAAGCCGGTGAAAATGCAGTAAAAAAGCTGGAACACACTTCCTCACTAGTCCAACACATGAAACAACAGGTCATAGCATCGACTTCAATGGCACCAAAACCCTAGCCACTATAGAAAACCCCAGCCACAGAATTATCAGAGAAGCCATAGAGATTGAAAAAAGACCGGAAAGCATGAATAGAAGAGATGATTCCATCAGACTGTCAATTATTTGGAAGCCTGCACTCACAAACAAAAATATCTCCACACCACAAGCCAGGCAAACACCTGGGCACAAACAGACACACACACCCCAATACCTCCAGCCCAAACACACCCCAACCAGCCACCCAGATGAAACCTAGCTTCCTAATAAACAATAGCCGGCCATTCACCTGAAGCCAAGCCACACTAAAAGCCCCCAATACACGAAACACAATGTTGCCAAGCCAATCAAGACAAAAAACCACTACAAAACAGACAGAAGATATTAGAAACACCAATCAAGCAGAACACACAGACGAACCGAACACACAAGCCTGATGATGGCAAATGAGATTCTGCCGAAACATCGCTACAACTTTAAAAGCACAACTATAATGACGTGGGAAAATACCCGAACAAAGCTGAATACCATACATATAAATACCTGTGAAAACTTTCTTTGTTGGGCTTGTATGCTATTTAATTGCTGGCAACTCTGCTCACCCATAAATTAGGTTGAAAAATATGTAAAAATACAATATGTAAAAGTCCATCCATCCATAGACAAACTGCATTTATCTGTGAGAAGGTTCCTGAGAAGATCAATGAAGGCTCCTGTGCAATTCCAAAGAAAAACTTCTTAATTTCCAAAGAAATCCTACTTTAGGATAGTTATTTATCCTAAAATAAATAGGCAAAAGGTTCATACTAGACTTGAGAAAAGAAACCAAGAAATCTTAAGAGGCACAAAATCACAAAAAATACCATAGTACTAAAACCAATATAGATAATCCTTGACTTACAACCACAACGGAGTCCAAATTTTCAAAGCAAGCCAGTTAAAGTGAGTTTTGGCCCATTTTCTTGCCACAGTTGTTATGTGAATGATTTGGTCATAAAGCAAATCTGGCTTCCCCCGTTGCTTGTTGGAAGCTGACTAGGAAGGTAATCACATGATCCCAGGACAGTGCTGCTGTCATAAATACATGCCAATTTTCCAAGCCTCCAAATCCTGATCGTGTGACCATGGGGATGCTGCAATGGTCATAAGTATGAAAACTAGTCATAAGCATCATAACTTTGAACTGTCAATAAATGAAAGCATTATTAGGCTTTGCACAACATGACAAAACCTCCACACCACAAATGACCAGAACCATGATGCATTTGGATAATACTTGAAGGTCCTAAGTGACAGTTAAAGTATTTTATTTAACCTTAACCCATTCTTCCTTTATCCTTTGTCCATTCTTTTAATATGCAAACAAGAAGTCCAGGGAACAAGAAAAGGAATGTTGGCAGATCACATTTTTGTGCTGTGTCCTTAATAGATGATGAGGAACATGATGAGTGGAGAGTTGCTTTTTAAAAATATATTGAAAAGTGTGTATAGGTTACCTGACTCAAAGTAATTCTGTATTAACTGCTGTAATCTTTTGTTTATTATGCTTATCTGAGACCTCCTACTGAATAGAAGAAGGTAACCAATGAATCTATGATGCATTGGGGGACTACTATTTTTTCCCCTTAACATTGAGTTAGCAGTATGCCAGTGTCTCTAAGCTGGAAGATTGGAAATAGGGCAAAGTGCTGGTTCCAAGAAGAGCATGTTACAGACTGTGTGACAATAAGCTTTCTTTGTTTCCTCTTGTTGTTTCTTCCTAATCCATTTCTGCTATGGGGATTTAGGTCCCTGGAAAATATTCAAACCACAGCAGGACAAAATCTCCAGCAGAATTTGAGCCCTGAAAGATGCTTCTGTTTCTTGGAGGCAAGCTGATTGGCTCATAAGTTTCCTTAGGTAATTGCTTCCATCAGTAAGACAATGTTCATATAAATATCCAGCACAAATCTCTTACTTCGGTGCTCCATCTTTGGCTAAGGAAAATCTCCATTCTTTCCTGAGGAAAAAATGTCCAGCCAGTAAGTACCCCCTAGGATTTTCTATGAATAAAATTTAATGTTGACTAAATAAGTGTAGTCCTGATGCTAAATAGCTTATTTCTAGAAGCAGGAGGGACATTGTGCTAAGAATCTGAGGGACTTTATGGAAGAAAACAAATAAAAATCCTACTGATGGTGAAAAACTGAACATTTAGAAGCAGTTATTTCTCTACTTTTAACTATTGAAACTGAACCTACTGTATAAAGGTCTGTTGAATTAAACTTCCATTAATAATAAATTATTTGGTTCTTAGGTGTAATAGTTTTTTTTCCTTTGAAGAGGAGAGCCACATATCATGTTTTTATTAATATTTCTGATGATCTGACTTATGGAGAACTGTTCTATTCAAAATTATACAGTATATATCCAGAGCTTCACTAGGAAATCATAGCTGAAAACTGGTTTTCAAAAAAAAAAAAAAAAAAGGGCTTATGATGAGGCTACAGAAAATAATGCTACTGTATGCAATTTTGCAGGAATAGGAAAATAATTGGCACACATAAGAGTATAATTTCATCTGCTGAAGGAATTTGATATTGTTAGACTATTATACTTGCTGCTGAAAATATTCATTTCAGAGCAGGTATCTCGAAACACAACAACTGTGCTAAAATAAAAGTCTTTCCAAATTTCTTCTTTCATCCAATTATTGGGGAAACTATTAAAGAAAATGCTAAATCAATCACCTTTGACTTTCTTAATATCTTGCAGATTTGAGCATCCAGCTGGTGGATACAAAAAGCTTTTTGAGACTGCAGAAGAACTATCTTCACCAATAACGGCTCATGTTACAGGTTTGTGTCTTGCAAGCGAAGCACAGCCAGTCCTAATTGGCACATAGGAGTCCAGTGTTACAGCCTAGCCTGGGAAAAAGAAATGAGAAATCATTTTTGTACAATTGTCAAGAAAGCTATACTCATGAGTTGAACTCACCTTGGTAGCATCTTTAACTTTCTACAGCTTCTGCAGCTTTCTTTTACCTTCATGAAAATGAAACCATTTTGAGTTGTAGATAACTAAACTAGATAGAATTTATTGTAGAAAACCAAGCCCTGTTTACATAATTAAGGACCATATAGATTTGTATTTGCTAGGTGTTTAGAACTGCCATTTCTACAGTACCTGGTCACTGGCCATGCTGGCTGGGGTTGATGGGATCTGAAGTCCAAAATTTCAGAATGACATCAGGTTGAGCACTAAACAACACTAAACTATACTGTGCCTTTTCTCTCTCCTTTTGCTGATATTTGATAGTTTGCCATAATGCAACTTTGTTAAACTGGGAATCATTTTAGGGATTGAAAGTAGATATAAACTTAAACTACATTTTATTCGCAATATTAATTTAATTACAGTAGATGTAAGTTTAGATTTCTGAATCTATTTCCACAAATAAACTTGATTTATACCTTGTTCTAATTATAAATTCTGCAGCAATTCAGCCTGTAATCCTTGTGTATCAGTCGGCTACAGTTATACAGTAGTTAAACTAGCAAGCAACAGATACCAAAACAAAGAAGGACTAATGTTAAGAAAACAATGAATTCCAGGTGAAATAAAATTTTCTGTGGCACCCAAGACCAAAACTTATGCATCCTTGTATCCATACCCCATAAATGAAAGTGTAGGTCTAGGGTTTTTCTACTGTAGACACTTACATTGTGAAGGTATGGTATAAAGTTGTATGCTAAAGAGAGTCTTATTTATTTCAGAGATCCCAGCTTTTCTCACAGGTGGACATAGGACTATAGGTTGTTAATCTTGCTAATGTTGAAAGAGCACACAAGCATTTTGAAATGTGAGCTGCTCATTTCCAAGTGATTTACATCTTAAGGAAAAGTTTAGAGGTGAAGGAATGGATTGGCAATTATACAGGTAGTCCCCATAATTGAGGCCAAAGCTTCTGTTGCCAAGCAAGACAATTCAGGGAGTTGCACCCCATTTTACGATCTTTTTTTGCCAGAGTTGTTAAGCGAGTCACTGCAATTGTGAAGCAAATCATGCAGTCATTAAGTGAATCTGGCTTCTCCCATTAACTTTGCTTGTTGGAAACCAGCTGGGAAGGTTACACATGGTGATCATATGATCCCGGGACAGTACAACTGTTAAATATCCATGCTGCTTGCCAGGGGCTTAAATGATCACGTGATTACAGGAGATACTGCAGTAGTCATGTGTGAAAAACAGTCATAACTTAATTTTTTTCAGTACTGTTGTAACTTCAAACAGTCACTAAATGAATGGTTGTAAGTCAAGGACTACCTGTATACTCTGTTTAAGATGGCCTAAACTTTTTCTCAGTGTAATCTTCCTTTCACTGGTTGTGTGCAACCAGAGGCTGAGCAGCAATTTGTTGACAGTACTTAAATTAAATTTAATGCATTAAGTAAGATTTGTGACCTAAATTGTCCCTTCTCATTCTGGTACTATAAAAGCAGTTCCATGCAGAGCATAGTATAGAGGTCCTATCTGGATGTTAATAATCTACAGATAACCAAAGCAAGGTAACAATCTCCCATAAGCCACTTAATACCAAATCCAAAAGAACTCCTGTGTTTTAACAAACTCAGATCTTCTATTCTTGCTATAAGCAGCCCTCCACTTTTTAAAATATGTTCCCAAAAGATGTAGAATGGAGGCTTGTAAGGCAGGCAGATAACCAGGCAAATATTCAGCCTTGCAATCCCAGATGTGATCAGCTACCATAACCAATGCTGAGAGATGCTGGAAACCCAGTATTGTATAGCTTTAGCTGAAAGCTGACAGCTCAGGAGTCTCAAGACTGTAGCATGAAACTTCAATAGGATATTTATTTCTCAACTTTTTTTGGTAAATATTTTTTGCTCTGTTTGCAACAGGTAAAATTCCAGTTTGGCTGAAAGGCAGTTTGCTCAGATGTGGGCCTGGTTTATTTGAAGTTGGATCAGAACCGTTTTATCATTTGTTTGATGGCCAAGCACTTCTTCACAAGTTTGATTTCAAGGAAGGCCATGTCACTTATTACAGGAGGTAAGTGACACTTCCTGCCTGCTTTCTCCATTCTGCAATCTAGCAACTCATCCACTCTAACCAATTCATAAAACTCTAATTTACACTAAAAGGTGATTCTGTTCCAAAAACAAAATATAAATTTTTGACTGCTTAGGTTCTGTACAATGAAAATCTGTTTCAGAAACTGTATGGAGGAAATATGAAGACTGTAAAGCACATAAACAATGAATATACAGGTAGTCCTTGACTTATGACTAGTTGCTTAGTATGAGCAACCTGCTTTATGATCTTCACAAGTTATGACCGTGATGAGCAGTCTCCATTACAGTCATAACATAAGGACTACTGTACAATTCTGTTTGTGTATCTTTATCCAAATCAATGTTTCTTCCAGAGTATCTCTGTTCAGACAATATTTCAACCAGTATTTCCTAAAAAAATTCTGCATGTTTGCCACCTGAAAACTCTGCTGTTTGCTTACAGCATTTGCTCTTTTAACATGAATATCTGCAAGAGGAAAGCATGGCTCATGCAGAAGTCAATTGGACTTCTCTATTGCAAGTATTCCCATATTAAGTCCAAAGAAAGTAGGACAGTTGTTGTGTCGTGAATGAATCCAGTGTCTTCATCCAGATTAAATCTTTATTTGTTTGCCTTCATCAATTCCAGAAGTCCTTCCTGGAACATTGCAACACTTTCTCCAAGATTATTGGGGGGAAATAAAAGGAAGAATTTTTTCTTCTCATCCACGTTCTGCTTCTTTAGATGTTGGATGGAATATTTACTAGCCTCATTTATGAATTTGGGATTGGATTTCATCCCAGAGGTGGCTCTGGAATATATTAATAGAAGTGAGAAATGAACTGGTAATATGTAAGTAAAGTGGAACATCATATATAATCTTGTCTTATTTCTTTATAGGTTTGTTCGAACCGATGCCTATGTTAGAGCAATGACTGAGAAGAGAATAGTAATCACAGAATTTGGAACATATGCTTACCCAGATCCATGCAAAAATATATTTTCCAGGTGAAAAAAAAAATAAAGGTATAATTATGGACAGCCTGAAACATATTGTTGCATTATGCAGCAATCTAGAAATAATCTACTTTCTTTGTGGTTGTGTCCGGCAGATTTTTTTCATACTTCCAAGGTGTGGAGATCACTGACAATGCCCTGGTGAATGTGTATCCTGTGGGAGAAGATTTTTATGCCTGTACTGAGACAAATTTCATAACAAAAATCAACACAGAAAATCTGGAAACAATTAAAAAGGTCTTTTTTATAAATTAAAGACAGAAATACATTAAACTTGGAAATGAGTATTGATGGCACACATAATGTATCACTTACAGAACATCTAAAATGGAAACAGTAATTGAAGAAGTATTTATAGAGCATTTAATTGAAATATAGTCTTATACAGTATATTCTATCTGCTGATTAGAATCTCATTCAATCTATTCTCATTTAGTACAAGAAGAAATTACCAGAAAGCACTGTTAAAAATAAAAATAAGACTGTTTAGAAGCAGTGCTAGATCCACATAAGATTTTGTAATAGAAGCAGAAGTGCTGTTGTAATTCCAGAGGAGTTATGTGATATATTTTCTTAGTAACCATACCTCAGCAATTGAATTGTACATCCTGTTTGTAAATGTCTTTCAACTGAATGCTATGTGCTGGATGCAGGTGAATGCAATTGTACTCCTGTAATAATATTATACGGTCCCTTGTATCCATCCCATCAAACCCAAAGGAAGTTTGGAATGGTATAGGATCTCCTGCCGTGGGCAAGAGAGTTGGATTAGAAGAGCTCCATGGTCCCTTCCAATCCTATTATTATTTTTATTCTATGTGGTGTGTTCTTTGAATCTTGTTTGTTTACATTCTGAAAGAAAATAGTTCTTCTGAGCTAGAGAGAGAATTATGACCTTCTCTAAATTCACAAAAGTTGCACCTGTAGTTGTTCAGAAACTCATTTCCATTGTTATTCCACAGAACATTTGCAAATACTGTATTTCTGAGCACAAGGGCTCAGTTTTGTAACAACATAACATTTCTGTTAAGTTGCCTTCTAGGATATGCTTTCTATTCCCACCCTATTGATCAATCTGCTGTAGTTATGCTCTATTTAAAAATCACAAAATATTGATTTTTAAGGATAAGCAAATTACTATGTCTATTTTATTTAAGATAATAAAATACATTCAACACAATGTAATGTGCTTCTAATGAATGCATTTTGTCAGTGACCAATGTATGGATTTCCCCCAAATTATCTTTTTGTTATATTCTTTCAGGTGGATATCAGCAAATATGTTTCAGTCAATGGGGTCACAGCACACCCTCATATTGAAAATGATGGAACAGTTTATAATATTGGCAACTGCTTTGGAAAGAATTTGTCCTTTGCCTATAATATCGTAAGAATACCTCCCCTTCAAGCAGGTCTGTTCACTTTCAAGCAGCAGCTGCTAAAATCAGAATGTTTCTCCCTTCCAGTGCAGACTAAACCAACTTGATATAGATTTTTATAGCTAAAACTTGAGAATACTTTTACTTCTGAAAAAAGGCTTTTCCTAATATTCAAAGAATCAAAATGTATTTAAATTCTGAATGCTTATTTATTCACTAGAATTTGAATTTTCATTAATTAGTTTATACAACTAAACATGGATAAATGCATTGACCCTTGATCTTTGTCTTTCTCAGATAAGAAAGATCCAATGACAAAATGCGAAGTGGTGGTTCAGTTTCCCTGTAGTGAGAGATTCAAGCCGTCTTATGTGCACAGGTAAACATACATCTCCTCAAAAAGATGTATTTAAACACCTTAAGCATAGCTTTATAAAATAGTTATTTATCATTTTACTTATTTAATTTTAAAACCATCTAATAGCCAAAACTATTACAATAAACACCCTAAAGAATGCAATCCAAGTTAAACCGTATACAATCAAATAAAATACAAATAAAATACTCCTCTAAGTGGGCAGGAGCAAGACAATTATTGAAAAACAAATAATATGCATTAAAACACTATTTTAAAATTTAAAAATGCAGTTATAACACTGTATAAATACCCTAGGAAAATAGAAAGGGCAACATGGAGGACAACTTCATGGGATAGAGCTTAACATCCAGATAGGTGTATGAGGCTTTATAGTTCAAAGCCAACACTTTGAATTTGACCCAGAAATGGACCAGTAGACATTGTACATGATAAAGTATTGGTCTAAAATACTAAAATAAAGTATTGGCCAGTTCTATTGGTCAGTCTAGCTGTTCTAATCTGAACTAATGGAAGTTTGCAGACCACTTTCAAAGACAGCCTCGTGTATGTTTTGTAATAACCCAACCTGGAAATTATCAGAGCATGGGTAATGGTTACATGGCTGTTTCTTTCCAAATAGTTGGTTTTTAAATCAGCTGAAACTGATGAAAGGCACTCTTTATCACTATAGCTATCCAGACTAGTGACAATGATGAATGTAGGTTCTGCCCCCCCCCCCCCCCCAAGCTATGAACCTGCTCCTTTGAGCTGAGGGAAGAACCTTCCAGCCCTGTAGGACATCACCCAACATTCTTGTCATATGTATAAAACAGTGTTTATTAAGTTCAAATTTGACACTGATACATTTAGCCTAACAAGAAGCAAAAATGAAATTATTGGCATTTGAAAAATGAACAGATGCATTTTGAATTTCATGTGCATATACAAAATGCTATGCCATCTCATATATGATCATCATATACGATCAACTGTCTTTCCTAACAGTTTTGGGCTAACTCCAAATTACATCGTGTTTGTGGAAACTCCAGTGAAAATTAATTTGCTCAAGTTTCTTTCTTCCTGGAGTCTTTGGGGAGCCAACTACATGGACTGTTTTGAGTCAAATGAAAAGATGGGGGTAAGTGTTTTTTAATTCATTTGTCCCTTTGTTATGCTGTGTGTGTGTGTGTGTGTGTGTGTTTATACACACACACAATTACACACACGTGCATACATACATATACACAAACACACAATGACACAAGAAGAATATAGTTTTATTATTTAACAAAGTTTTAATATTCATTTTTAAAGGTATGGATGCATGTTGCTGACAAGAAAAATGGGGAGTACCTCAACATCAAATACAGAACTTCACCTTTTAATCTTTTCCATCATATTAATACTTATGAGGATAATGGATTTCTTGTTGTGGATTTATGTACATGGAAAGGGTAGGTACTGAAAAACCTATGTGTACAGAAAACCATACAGCTATAATTTAAAGTAATCTTAGCCCAGTTACTGGACTGCCGGTGCCATAATTTTCTTTGAAGAATGTTAGTTCAGAAGACTAGCTTTTGTTTTCAAGTAACGTTTCTTCGTGTATTTGCAGTAAAACAGATTGCTTTCAGGGATTATCACATCAGTTTATTATACTGTTCAAACAATAATAATACAATAAAGTCAAGAGGTAGTTAATTTAGTGGCACACATAAAAATAGAAGAAAAAACAAAGGAAGCACACAAATATAGGACTAGCAACAGTTTGCCTTTGGCAACCATGGTAAGGAACTCTTGATTGAATAGAAGGTAAAATTTATTCCTAACAGTACAAGTGACATTTGTTAAAGGTCAGGGTTTTTTTAAGGGTAAGAAACAAAGTAGACTGTGTGTCAGCATACACAGAATAATGCTGTGATGACGAAGAATTTAACAAAATATATGTGACTTTTCATGAGATACTTCAGGATATTGAAAAGGTCTTGATTTGGCTAGAACTACTGTAGCAGTTTTATTCATTTTCTCGTGGTTATTGTATGTATGTATGTATGTATGTATGTATGTATGTATGTATGTATTTATATGCCACCTTTACTATTTTTATAAATAACTGAAGGAGGCAAACATATCCAACACACTTTCTTTATCCTATTTCCCCCACAAGAATAACCTGGTGAGGTTGGTTGGACTGAGAGTGACTGACTGGCCCAAAGTCACCCACTTGGCTTTCATAGCTAAGGAGGGACATGAACTCATGGTCTCCTGCTTTCTAGCCTGGTGCCTTAACCACTACTAGACCAAATTGACTCTGTATTTTGTCTGTAGCTGTCCTTCATTTAGGTGCCATTAATGAGAAAAATATAAATTTACATACAGTGATTATTTTTTGGCACATGCATTTCAATGACCCAGAAATTATAATTCTGCCATAGTCAAATAGGTAACTGTAAGGCTAGATCCCATGACTTGTTCACTGAGAAGCTGATGTCTTTTATTCCTCTATAGATATGAATTTGTTTACAATTACTTATACTTAGCCAATTTACGAGAAAACTGGGAAGAAGTGAAGAAAAATGCACAAAAAGCTCCTCAACCTGAAGTTCGACGGTATGTCCTTCCCTTAAATATTGAGAAGGTAAGAATTAAATATTATATATTGGAAAGAAAATCAGTATGTTACACATGTAATGTGTACACATTTGCTAGCAAGGACTTCATAGAGAATGTAATGTACATTAGGCTGGTTGGCGGTGAGATAATGTTCAGATGTTCTTTGCAATATTATTTTCAAGCGCAATATTTTGTATTTTCCCAAGGAAAAGAGGCATTTACATACAGGAATAATAAAAAAGAGAATGTTTTGAGACAGTACTATTGAATTAGTGTTTCAGTTTCCCGTTTTAAAACCAAGACTTTAAAAAAAAAGTGTTTCTGAGATCTTTTACTTATATTGTTGGAAGAATAGGTGGAATGTTGAAAAATGGAGTACAGTATAGAATATTTTTCTTACTTTCTTTTTGTGGGGGATGTTCTAGGCTGATACAGGAAAAAATCTAATCACATTACCTAATACAACAGCAACAGCAATTCTGCACAGTGATGATACTATCTGGCTGGATCCAGAAGTTATTTTTTCAGGACCACGACAAGGTAAGGCTAAGCTCAGCAAAAAGCTAAAAAAAGACAATCTTAGCAAATACAAGAAACCAATTAAATGTGTTTATTTTGCTTTATAGCTTTTGAGTTTCCACAAATAAACTATGCAAAATATTCCGGGAAACCTTATACATATGCATATGGTCTTGGATTGAATCATTTTGTTCCAGACAGAGTAAGTATTACATATTAATAGACTAGATTTGTTTTTGCAAAAAGGCAAAGAAAAGTCTAAGTCCAAATTCTTTTATGTAACTCATAGGAATATACAAGATAGCAAAATAGGATGTATCATCTTAGACTGCTTCTTTGGCTATTCAGGTTATTACTGTATTTACTTTTAAGTCTATTTAACAGTGGAAAAATATCATTGTTGGACAGAGGGAATACCCCATTTTCTCTAGGGTGCTAAGGGAGTCATACATAGTTTGCAAAGTCAACTCTGGATGCCTATATTTATTACAGGGAAAAAACATATCAAATATGAAATCCATAGATAGCAACTATGCAACAAACCATTCTTCTAGTTCATAGTATACTGATAGCAGTCACATCTACCACAATGGGAAGGGGTTGAGTTTCTCATAAAGCTTTGCTCTGAATAGATTTCCATTCAAACAGATCACTGCATTGCTCATCCTAGCTCAGCCTGCTCCTGCACTCAAACTATCAAGAAAATACAATGTATTTGCCCAAACGAACAGATGTAAATGTTTCATATTTTGGTAAAAAGAGATTTTATGCCTTCTGAGACTTGCATTAAGATTCATCTTTGAGCATCCTGTAGAAAATCAAATAGACTTTTAAAATGTAGCCTATTGTAACTTAGCTGTTTTGTGTTCTGGGACAAAGCTGACTTGAATCTGAACAAAATACAAAATGTATTCTTTTTAGGCACTAAAATTATTCTACAAAATATTATGAGCCTCTTGTAAAGCTGAATTTTCATTTTCAATATAGGGTGATCAAATCATAGTGATGTCTCCCTGTCACGTGATTATACTGTGGTTCCATCCTATGCCGTATTTTATTTAATTCACAAGCTGCCCAAGTCCATTGTGGCTCAGAGTGACATACAATATACAAAATTCAAATTTTAAAATTTACAATAAAACAATACTTTGTTTTACGTACAAAAATATTGTCCGAAGAAATTGACCATCCTTTAAGATCAGACAACCCTCAAAGGACTGGCTGTTTTCTCTAGTCTAGCCCAAAGCCCGGGGAAAGGGTCAGTCCGAGGGGCTCATCTAAATATGGTTGGGGTGAGGCTCATCAGAATATTGGGGGAAAGGTATTGTAGTGGGCAGACATTACAATAGAAAAGGTGGCATTACTTCATTGATGGGACCCAGAACTTGCCAATTCTGTCAGACTATATATGGTGAGCAGCAATTATGGATCATAAGTCTTCAATTAACCAGGCGCTATGTGTTAGTGTTTGGGGATTAACCCCTAGCAGAGTATTGCAGCAGTAGTCAAGCCAGGCAGCCAAAACGAGAGTGGAAGGGCCCCAGAGTATACACACACTGAACACAAACACTGTTTGTAGTTTAAATAGTTTTTAATCCA